CAGCCGCCGCCGCCGCCGCCGCCGTCGCCTGCGGCAACCTCTCGCCACGGGCGTGCCCTCGAAGGAACTCGGACCCCGTAGCGGCCAGCTCCCTCGGCAGCGTTGTCGCCTCCACCTGGCCCTGCTGCTGGCTCTAACGCGTAGGCAAGGTGGTGGTGTGCGAAGACGCAGGGAAATGTTCGTTGGGAACGTGTTGGGAAACAACGTTGGTCGAGAATGCACGAGAACGGTAACATCAAAATGGAAAATGAAAAAAAAAAAACATGCTCAAGACCGCGGGAAAAAAAAAAATGACCCACTGCAAGCAGGGAGGGCCGGGCCAAGTAGACTTCGGCTAAACCCTGTCCACGCGAAATCCAAAATACTAAAGTTGCGTCGTCAAAACTGAAAATTGAAAAATACCCGAAACGAGAAACAAAAACGATCGTAATTATTGTTCTTCAATAACACCAAGTCAAGCTACACGTTAGAAACAGTCTCCGTCGCGCACCTGCTCGAGGAAGCCCCGCGCTCAATCCAGCGTCGTTCGCACCACCGTGATGTCTCGCCGACTGCCGCGAATTACCACCGCCGCCACCGCCGGCAGGCTGTCTTCGGGCTCTACCAGCGTACGGCATCGGAGTTGCAGAGGCCCCTGGCCCGTGATCACTGCGGCCGGGAGAAGACGGACGGTGCCGCTCCGTGCCTGCTGGCCCACCACGCCCGGCGGCATCGCCGAAGGGACCGCTAGGCGCCGGTGCCGCGGAAGTGGCAGGGGCAGCGGCGTCGCTGCCGCCGTCGCTGCTGGTGGTCCCTCTTCCGTTGTTGTTGCGACGCGGCATCTTCGCCGGGCGCCCCTCCTGGGAATCGTTGTTTCGTTGCTGTTGCTGTTGCTGTTGCTGTTGCTCACCCCCCTCTCGTTGTTCGTGGCGGCCACCCCCCCCGTTGCCCGATTCACAGTATTTCCCTCTGCCCGTCCGCCGAGCGTCTTGATTGCTGAGCCCGGCTGCAACGGCCGGCGCAGGTACCGCCGCAGCGCTGGCCGTGGCGCCGTCGCCAGCGCTGCCAACGTTAGCCGCTCTCCGAGGCATCTTCGACGGACGTCCGTCCCCGCCGCCGGCCGAAGCGAGGACGGGCGGCAACGGTGTCGCTGGAACCAGTGCACCGGTAGAGGCGGCAGCAGGTGCGGCAGAATCTGCCGCCGCGGTTTTCTCGACACCACCGACCGAACGATGTTCCACCGCGACAGGAGTAGCCGCCAGCCGCTTACGCTTTGCGCGGCCGGCACCATCGGTATTACCGCCGCTGTTGCTGCCGTTGCTGCCGCTGCTGCCGCCACTGCCCCCGGAGTCTTGGGGTCCTGGAGATGGCAAAGACAGACTGGTCAGGGGTGGTTGGTGAGGGGGAGTTGGCGCTGGCCCCGCCCCGGCCCCCCGGTCATTCTCTTCCATTGTCGGCTCTTGTTGGATGCTGGCACGCGACCTACGGCGGGGCAGGATAACGCCTTCTACTGCCGTAACGCCCGTGTAGAGCCGCCTCTCGCTTTTCCTCGTTCTGCTCTGCCAGTCTCGTCTCCTATTATAATCTCTCTCTGTCCCTCGCTCAGGGCTTGCCGCAACACCAGCGTGTATTGTTTCGTGTGTGGGGCCCCTCCCGCCTCTATGAATGCCTGGGGGGAGAAACTGCAGCAGCAGGAGGAGGGGCGGCAGTAGCAGCGTGCAGGGAGTTTCGAGGGGTTACCTCTCTCCAAAGGGGTTTGAACGGTGCGGACAAAGGGATGCGATACGGTAGAGCTGTAGGCCTTTTACGGGGTGAACATCATTAAATGTGGTAGCGGTCATTCGCAGGATGCAACAAAGCAGCAGACGTGTGCGCACCTCCTACAGCTGTCGGATGCGGATTGGCCCACCATTGTGTTGGTTGCAAGGGAAGGGCTTGCGGTTTAGCCCCGGAGAGATTGCGCGATGCACTTGCTCAACAAGGCTGTTCTCATGTGTTGGTTCGCCCCATTTCTTATGCTGGCGCCAGTCTAACACATCCTATTAGCCGGAGTCGCACAGGAGGAAGGTCACGCAGGATCCTCTCCTATTTTTAGTATCACAGAAGTGCCCCACCCCACCAGCGGTGCTTACCTCAGTTGTTACCGCGATTAGGGTTTGAAGGGTTTTCTGCCCGATTCCCACGCCGACCGCAAAACAAGGTTTTTATTCTCAAGAACCGAATCATTTTCCGCCGTAAATTTTTGTGCCTTTATGTAGCGGTTATGCCTGATCCACGGAGAGAGTCGAACTCACAGCCCCTAGGTTTACGAGGCAACCACTAGGGGGCGACCGGTCTACTGCGCATACCGGACGCATTTTTTCGCCAACCAATGTTGGCGTGAAAGCGTTGGTATTGTCCGCAAAAAAATGTTGCACAAATCTACTGCTGCTGTTCCAAAAATACGTGTATTTCTCGCTGATAGACGGTTGCTCGTTTTTTCTCTCCCTGCATGTACAGCAGTAACGCGCGACCTTGCAAGCCCTTCTGGGGAGCTCCGGTCTGGGCCCACAAACCGTGCTGCCTGCTACGGCAGCTGCCTGCTGCATTGCGGGGGAGACCATTTGCATTTGAAATCAAAGGCAGTTTGTTTCTCCCAGGCGTGCCCACCATCTCTTTCTTCTCTGCGATCGGCAAGGAGCCAAGCGCGGACACACAGCTTGCTGAGATTTGAAAGCTCTCAAACTAGTCGCTATTATAGGTACAGGTCACGGGGCGACCTGTGGACAAAGCAGCAGCTGGCATCTTGTCTCTCTCATGTAGATACTGGTACTTTAGTACGTAAGCAGAGCAGAGCGGCATTCTCGGCGGAAAAATAAAAAAACGCAGTGTTTTTGTCACAAAACGATAACTTTGTCACGCCTGCGCTCGGTGTGTGTGCGAGAGAGACCGCCCACAGTTGGGAGAGTGCGCAAGGCTGGCTCGATAGCCCGTTCTGTTTCGATCACATCGGACAGGCAAACAGGACCAACACATGAATGCCACGGGGGCCTGTTTTACGGCACATCGACAGGCCTCTAATAAGGCACAACACACAAAACACGATCGATTCAGCGAGGATCTGATGCGTTTTACGTACAAGTTATATTATTGTAGCAGCGCGCATCCGACTTATTTGTTCATCGTGCTGCTCGAGCACGCCTAGCAACCCAACCCAACGGAACCCCAACCCTCCACCCGTCACTACACCTGTACGCTGGCGGTGAACGTATGGCTATCTCTCTCACCTCTCGTTCTCTCTCTCTCTCTCCCGTCTCGGGTGTCCGCCGGGTTGGTTATGCACCGGACGCCGGACGCCGGGCGCCGGGGGCACACAGCCTATCATATAGCCGAATGAGGGGTACCCATAATTGTTATGTGCGGCCTCCCTGCTCCAGGTGCGCCGAGCCAGCCCACCTGCCTGTGCAAGAGCAACTTGGAGCAACAGGCCGGGGGGCGCCCAGCTGATACAGCGGTGCCAAGCCGGCTTCGGTCCGGATAGAGAACTCTCCTGCGGGTTCCTCTCAGGTACGAGGAAGCTGGGTTGTGGGGGGAACAACTTTGGGTGCGGTTCCTGTATGCAAATTTACAAATTTACAAATTTACCGACCTCTCTGAGTGTTTGTGTGTATGGGTTCAATCTTGACACTGATTCATGCAGTGGACTCCAGCCAGGGTCCGTCCTTGTGTACACATACTATACGGATACATCGACCTCCACACAGAGGTACCTGCAGCACAGGTGTGTAGGAAGACGGAGGCGGGCTGGTTCTTCCTCATGACAATAGGTTGGGGTGAAGGCTAGGTTGGAACCTGCGCCCTTCCGTGAATCGTCACGCCTGCTCTACATGCAGCATCGCATGCACCCTCCTCCAGCAGTTCATACGACCATGGTGTGGCTGCCAGTATAGTTCGTTTTGTGGATATCGACAGCAGTCGTTGGAATTCCCCCGTCTCGACGACTGCCTCCCTTACCGCATGCTTCATAGAGGGCTATTAGGGGGTTGTTTCTACACGAGGGAATGTTACGGGAGCAAGTATGTATTGTTGCCAGCTGCCTCTCTAAGATCCGGATCAGAGGGAACGCCGTTGTGTATTTGATTTTTGTTCCAAAGGAAAGTTGCCAGTCTTCGAAAGCGTGTGATCTTGAGGGGCAGCGATTTCTTTATTTCTTCTGAGTCACGTCACGCCGGATGTCTCTGCTGCTCTTGTAGCCGCTTAACTGTCCTTTGTACCCCAGGGACCACCAGAGAGTGGTGTGCTTGCAGCTCACAGATCATGTTATATTGCTGGCGCCTACAATGGTATGGTTTTGGGTCCACTATACCTTAGAGCGCTACCGCAGTAGCTTGGACGACGGTACCTTGAGTGCTCCAAGCTGTGTAAAATTCAGCAGTCGATGGAGAGCTACGGACTCTCTTGTGGCGGGCAAGCTGTCCCCGCGTAGAGCAAATACAATGGAAGCGGGGGCACGCGTAGCTAGCTCACAGATCAGCGTTGTTTGCTGGAGTGCTCTGTGTTTTTTCTTCTTCTTTAGGTTAATGTTAACACATTTAAATAATGTCTCTCCATAGATAAGGGTATAGTCTAGGAGTAAATTAGCAACAGTAGTTTGTATAGCGTCAGCGGAGCGCTTTGTTGCTATTGTTTCGTCGTTCTTGTTGCACCGCCGTAGATAGGCGTGGCTGACGACGATGCCACTTGGAGACACAGAGCTGCGGATCCCGTGTAGATTGACGGGGAAGCGGGCGGCGGCGGCGCTGCTGCGATGGTCGTTGTTGCGGGCGGGGTGCAAGTAAACGTGTGCCCGGCGGCGGTGCGGCTTCGACCCCAGGTACAGCGGCCGCAGGTACTGAGGCCGCTGCCGCCCGAGTCCCCGTCAATCTTCACAGGATCCGCAGCTCCGTCTCCAAGTGCCATCGCCACCGACAAGTAACTAGGTACCCATACAGAGAATTATCTTACCGCCGCGCGGCACGTTAGGGCGCCTCCGAGTAGTTGTGGCCGAGTTGGTCCTTCCCGCTGAGGAGAGAAGGGGAAATGAGGGGGCGTCTAGCGTTCGAGGTGGGGAAGACAGCGCAGGAATGCTACCTACGGCAGCATCGGTATTTCCTTTCAGAATGAGGCCTTTTTCTCGAAAGGAAACTTAAGCCTGCGCACCGGGCAAGCGTTCAGTCAGCACGTGCCGTGGTGCACGCCACCAGCCTCTGGTCTATATACATGAGCCGCTTAAACAAGAAGGCGCGGTTGATGGTACATACCTGACAATACCGGGCCACTTCTATCCCAGTTTTCCGCCATTGCTTCGCAGTCTGTCCTGCTTGCGAGGGTCGTCGCGCCACACGCGCAGTGCACTTACTTACTGGAGTGCGAGAAAACTCTCGCAGTACCTATCTTTCGCCTTTCCGTGGGGACCCACAAGCTGAGATCATTGGCGTTCTGCATAGCGCGTAAGATGTTGCGCGTTCATTACTTTTGGCTGTGGAAATGGGCGAACATGAAAGGTCGGTCGCCCTGAGCCCTGATACTTCTTTCCCCAACAGGAACTGCACCCCCCAAGGGGCTACGCGATTCACACACGCCGGAACATGCGGCAAAGTTAATCAAAACTGCTCGAGAGAGTGAAATGAGAGAGGTTCGGGGCATGGTAGAGTACCACTGTAGCTGACGGGGAATACCCTGTACAGGGCAGAAACCGGAACGGTTTTTAGGACAAGAAGAACAAGGGACTTGAAACGCGTTTTTCGTGATGGAAGTAGCTTGCTGCTGCAGGCAGTTGCTTCCTGTGGCATGCTGCTTCCGCGGAGGAATCTCCGTCGCTTGTGTGGTGAAACTGTCGTGGAATCGCATGTGTTTGTGTCCTTGGAGACGGCAGGGGGCGGGGTTTTGTGTATTTCGGGGAGGGGGGGGAAGGACTTCATCTATTTCGAGGTGAATTTTGCTGCTTCCCGAGAAATAGGAACACCGTCAACGTTCGGATATTAAAAATTGATTGCTGCTTTTCTGATCGGGTGGGCAGGGACAGCAGTAGGTTCATGCAGTAGGGTAGCTTCCAAAGGCAAAAAATTGCCCAGACGTACGCGAGATGCCTCGCTCTAACCCAGTCCCGTTGGGGGGGGGGGGGGGGGGGGGGAAAGTTTATTTTTTGCCAAAAAACCAATTTTAAAGGGGAAGGGGGGGCCGTAAAAAAGGGTTTTCGGGGGCCCTTCCCCCCAAAAGAAGAAGGGCCAGAAAAGA